TCATAGGGAATTGATTGATGTAATCATCCTTATCCTTTCCTTCTCTGATAGATGATGTGTTTTTGTCTTGAAAGGTGATTTGTAAATTATCATTTGGCAAGCTATATAAATAGGATACAACAAATACACGGTTAGAAAGATTTAACTAACATAAAAATACTTAGACGATTACATGTATACTATTTTTAAAATTTTAAAAACACTTACTTCCCCACAAATTCATTGACTATTGTGTAGTCTGGGTTGAGTAGCATTAAAGACATGTCAAATGCATTTGAGACAGATCTATCACCTGTTATTACAAATAATCAGAGATTAGTAGCTTTAAAATCGCATAATATTTAGTTTACAATAAGCAAACATTCTTACCATTGTAAGTATTGATTTTAGCACATCGAAGCAAACATATGACAATTCCACGTTCTTCTTTTCTACATGCTTCCCACATTGAATCTGCAAATTTCCCCCATAGAGTACATGATAGCCGCTGGTCACTGTAAAATAAACATTTAGTTGTTATCATTATTCTAGAAAAGGAATTCCAATTTTTAAAGTGTAGGTGAATTACCTGGTATCTCTCAACTCAACCTCCAACCTTTTTTTTGGTTTATCATTTTGTGAAGACGTTTTCATCTGCCCAACAGATACTACCTGACCAAGAACATCTGAGAAGGAAAAAATAGATTATGAAGTATTTACTTCTTGAATAATAAATTGTGACTGAAATATACGCATGATTAAAGATAACTTACCAATGAGTATGTGTTCATTAAGAACATCATCAGCGAGTATGTTGTCAAATGCAGCAAGATCAACATAAAAATCATTAGACAAAGACTGGCATCGAGTAATGATTGTTGAATTCATTATCGACATTTTGTATGTATGCTTGGTTGCTCTAAACTTCCCAGATGCTCTAGTGAGTTGGAAGTTTTCAATGACTCTCCATTCTCCAAAAACAATTAGTCGTTGAAACTTGTTCAACTGTTGTTTTTTAATGGTTGCATGAATTAGTATTCCCTGTAAAACCAAAGAAAAAAACAATTAAACATGTTAGCTAACAAAGCAGTAAATTATGTATGTTTTACAGGATTGGACGAAACACTTACCGCTACATCAGCCAAGATCATCTCGATTGTCTCTCCAGTGTAAGTAGTGAACTGTTTCCATGTGTGGACGATCTTCACTCTTATTTTCCATGATGTCTTGAATGGTTTGATGTCTGATAGCTCGGTGAAACACTCCTTTGCTGCCATTGTTTTTAAGTCGCTTTAGGTTTAATGTGTATGTGTATTAGTAACATATGCTTGACTATTTATAGATCGGCCTTTACTTGGTTGCAAAGATATGGCATATTCTCTATGGCATATTCTCAAAGATATCGTTTAGATGTTCTCGAAAATCGATTTTGTTGGCTATATGGCAATAATCAGTTTTGCATATATGATGAAGATTATGGTAGTTATGAGTTTGTTCGTAATTTTAGGAATATTTTTTCTCATTATTCTCCATGAATATAGAGGTTTGCTTTGATTTAGGCATAATTTGTTTTAAGAAAGGCAATAACTAATAATGGTCATCGACAATGGTTATTGTAAGACGATGGAAAATTAATTATTGTTTTCGAAAATGTTAACTGCAAGAAGATTTTGTTAACATTTTTTGGTTGGAGAAAATTATGCTTCGAATTAAAAGGTATAAATCAGTTATGGTATCTAGATTGTTAAGATTTTTAAAAATGTTTAGATCAACATTTGGGCCCTGCGAATAGGCCTATAATTACGATTTTGAAGACTGTTTTTTTAAAAAGTTGGGTGTGTTTGGCAATAGATTTACAATCACATTTTTTGTAATATTTTTTTTTCAGGTTTGTTTGGCAACAAACACAAAAAATGATCCCCAATTAATAGTATAGATTTATATGTTAGACCAACAATATCGGCAGGTTTTAAGAAGGATTTAGGGGTTTTAATCCAAAAAAATAAATCAAAAACATTAATATTGCTAAGATACGTATGCCGGAGAAGATACATTTAGTGGGCTAAGATACGCCACGTGGCGCAATTGGATTGGGTAAGTTTTTTTTTTTTTTTTTTTTTTTTTTTAACATTACAATTTTTTTTTAAAAACTTTTTTTAATCCATTTATTATGACATTACTATAGTTTCTATGGATTGGGTAACTTGATAATTATATCTATATTAACATTTTTGCAGCAACTTATGAAAAAACCCTTGCTTTGCTCACTTATTTACAAGGTTCTGCCATTGGTATTAATATTTCTTTTTAAATAGTTTAAAAATCAATAATGAAAACAAGAAAATCTCCCTAAAATTTTTCGAAAATACTTAAGAAAATCTTCAAATTAAACAAATATTTATTATTGCGAAAAAATAGTTAAGAAAATCTCTATTAATTATTTCGAAAATAGCTAAAACAATTTTCAAATTTAATACATACTTATTATCTTAATAAAAATTTCCAAAAATAACT